TGTGTGTGTGTGTGTGTGTGTGTGTGTGTTTGTGTTTTTGTGTGTGGGGGGCGTGGGGAGATCATATCTAAGACGAGAATCACTGTTACAGTATTTGAACAAGACAACAAAAATTAGGCGTTCTGTCGGCGTTTTCCTTGACCAGAGTTTGCTGACAGAACGCCTTTTTTCCAAAGCCGTGGCGAGAAAAAAGGCGTTTTGTCAGCGAACTCTTAAACAATTGCGTTTTGTCATCGTAACCATTTAAAAAAGCTGTTCTTCCGAAATTTGAATGTTAATTTATTCAAAAACTAGTCACAGTTTCACTTTGATTTTTTCACACAAATAGGGTAACAGGTCAGACTATCGGTTTAGCAAATAAAAAGTTTTTGCGACAAAATGAAAAAAAGGCGTTTTGTCAGCTTACGGGAGGTTTGTCCGGATACATTTCATCCAAACCAAAATGTTTGATCAAAAACTGGAACTTTACTGGAAGCATCTTTTATTTACCCTCTTACTATGTTGAGTAATTATAGCAACCAACACATCATTGTGAATAACCACAGGTGCTGGCATTCTATAGGATTTTTTTGGCAAGGCTAATCTCTATCCAAACCTAAATGTGTTCTAAAAAGCTGGAGCACCTTTATTTCTTTGTTCTTCCGCTGTTTTTGGGTACATTGTGCGGTCGGTCGCTACACTCTTTTTATTCTCTATACTCTATTAGTTTTTGTCCATGCCTAGTTGTACAATATTATTGTGTTTTACCTCAAGTGCTAGAATTTTATAGGCTTCTAGCTTAGCCCGGCTAAATTCCATCCAAACCTAAATCTTTTCTCAAAAACTTTAAGCATCTTTGCGTTTCTTTGTCCTCCTACTTTTTAAATAAATGGTTTAATCCTAATCTATTAGTCTTTGTGCATACCTATATCTTAAACAACCAACACATTATTGTGTTTTACTGTCGGCGCTATCATTTTATAGACTTCTTTGCCCGGCTTAATTCCATCCAAACCCAAATGTTTACTCAAAAGCTGGAAGCATCTTTTTTTTCTTTGTCCTACTTTTTTGAACAACCGATACGGTCATTGCACTCTCAATATTGGTTACAATTACAATCTATTCGTTTTATCCATGCCTAGTTGTAACAATCAGCACGACATTTTTGTTTTTCTTACTACAGCTGGAAGCATCTTTATTTCTTTGTCCTCCTACTGTTTTGGGTAACTTGAACAGTGGGTTGCGGTCAAGAAATAGTTTGTCTAAATTCAAATTCTGAATGTTGAAAAAAGCAAGGAAAATACATATTGTAGCATGATTATCGTTAAACAATTAAACACCCCCCCCCCCAAATCTCTTATGTAAAACTTTGCTTTCAGGGAATACTAATAAGTTATCAGTTTGACGACGATATCGAAAAATCATAGCTTAACTTGTCTCCCTATAATTTCACCCCCTGCTCTTGGTCTCAAATTAAATTTACGACTTGCCACATCCACGAAGCTTTCGTTCTCCGTCATCTTTATAAATTAACCCTATGGGGGGAAATCAAACAATGGAGACAGTAGAGAGGGGAGAGAGAGAGAGAGCGAGAGAGAGAGAGAGAGAGAGAGAGAGAGAGAGAGAGAGAGAGAGAGAGAGCGTATTCCAAAAAAATTCTTGTTCTCTTTCCTTTGCTCTTTTCTAAACAGATCTTCCGGTAATTCTCAGGGAGCGCAAAGATGCATGCCCTTAATACCGAAAGACTATTGGGGTCTGTTTTTTTAGTTAGTCATTATAAATTAATATGTGTGTGCGCGCACGCGCGTGTGTGTGTATGGGGTATATGTGTGTGTGTGTGTGTGTGTGTGTGTGTGTGTGTGTGTGTGTGTATATATATTATTAAGAGTGTGTGTTTGTGAGTGTTGTTTCTTTGATCGAGTTTGTGATTGTAATTTTGTTTACTTGTGAGTGTTTGGTTGTTTTGTTTTGTTTTTTGGTAGTTTTTGTTGAGTTTTTTTGTTTTTTTCTTCTTTGTTTTGTTTGTTTGTTTTTGTTTTTTGTTGGTTTTTTGTTTGTGTTTTGTTGTTGTTGTTTTGTTGTTTTGGTTTTTGGTTGTTTGTTTTTGTTTTGCTTTTTTTTTTGGGGGGGGGGAGGCCCCCACGTTTGATTGTAGGCCTTTCGTTCTCCCAGCCCCGATGAAGAGACCAGTTAAATAATAATGAGCCTTGTGAGATAATCATTTGCTCCTTTACCAAATCCTGTACAACAATTTTTCTTTGCTTAAAAAAAATAAATCTTCGTTCAAAGTAATAGTCTGAGGCAGATACGAGTAGAAATCTAGTCGTCATAATCTCAGACTATTCAGTCAGCGTAAAAAACCTATATTTTGTATAAAATAATATTGTCCCTTTATTCCTAAATCTACAATTTCAGGTTACTGTTTTACATTGACTTCCGGTTTAAATCGAAAGTTGCAACAACAAGCATGACCTCTATGACTGCAAGAAAGGCGATGTGGCTGCCTACTTCGTTGCTGTAAACTACAGTAAACCAACCACATCAACAAACAGCAAAGTATTTCAGACGTAAAATACCGTTTCAAGTTTAGATGTAGTGTTTTTTAATGTAATATGAATTCTTTGTCCTTCTCAAGAAACTGTCTACCATGGCGGAGATAAAGTGGAAGATCGCGACGAACTGATGCAAGAATCAGCTGCGTTGTCTTGCTTGGGCGTAAGGCTGGGTCTTCTGGTGTGACTGTTCAGTGTTTGGCGGACATTCATTCATCATATAAGGCTACTCATGTGAGATCTTCAAACTTAAAAGCTATTCGTGGCAGACATTGACTTTTGAATATTAATCAAAGGCCTGTGGCCTGTAAGCTTTTTTTCAGAAAACAATCAAAATGAGAAGCATTGGTGGAGGTGTTGCAGGTATGGGATCTTCAAAAGAACCCACACAACGCAAGTTGTTCCGACGTCGCACTGTGAAGAGCAACACAGAAAATCGTTTTGATATTCAGACCATTGGTGCATTTAAGTTGATTCCTTCATATACTCCATCTCATTTTACAACCAATCGCCCCTTAATGGGACAGTGCTGCAGATGTATGCCTCTAAGTCAAAGAGAGCTGAAAGACACAGGCCTCAAAGAGCTTGGCATGAGAAACTTGTTTGATGTAAGGAATGAAATTGCAAGCTCTAGTATTTTGAGCCAGTTGTTCCCGTTAGAGGCATATACTCTTCAAAGACCTCTGTTTAATACTTATCCGGATATCTCTAGTGTTGTACTGACAAGCCCTCGAGTTGTCAATGCAATTCAATGTACAGCCGAACAAATGATAAGAGGAGTTCATTGTGAGGAAGATGTCATGTCAAAACAGCTGTTAGTTATAAGGAAAAGATGTGTAAAAATCATCAACACCATGAAAGCTTCTGTTTCTCCGGTTTTTATTTCCATTACTGCATGGTTTCTGACCCGCTTTCTCGCTCGTTTCGTTCAAAGTGTACAAGTGTGCCGTGGACAAATGATGATGATTCGGCAGTCAAGTGAAAAAGAGATCCCAATGATATATTTGCCTTTACATAGAAGCCACCTTGATTACATTTTAGTGACTTTGATCCTGTGGCACTATGACATCCGTGCTCCGCATGTAGCAGCCGGAGACAACATGGATATTCCATTTTTCAACCTGTTGATGAGAGCCCTTGGGGGATTTTTCATCCGCCGGAGATTGGACAGTAAAAAGGGTGAGAAAGATGTGCTGTATAGAGCTATTCTCAACGAGTACATGAGCTTTCTGCTTCGCAAGGGTGAAAACCTAGAATTTTTCATCGAAGGTGGCAGAACCCGGACTGGACGGTCTGTGAACCCGAAAGGGGGACTTTTGTCTGTTGTAGTGGATGCTTTCAATGAAGGGGAAATATCTGATGCTTACATTGTTCCTGTGACATTCAGTTATGAAAAAATCATCGATGGAAATTACAACAGGGAGCAAATGGGTATCCCAAAAATAAAGGAATCTTTCTGGGGAGCCATGAAGGCGATATTCCACGTCTTCTTTAACAATTATGGTAATGTCAGAGTTGACTTTTCTCAGCCGTTTTCTCTTCGGGAATTCCTACAGCATTCAAAAGACCACCCATATAACCCTTTGACAGCAGAAAGTTCAAGAAAAGTGCCCTTGAATCATAGAGTTTCATATCCAAACTTTTCTCAAGCCTTGATGCCTACAAATGGGGAAGAAAGTGTTCGGATGTCTGTTAAAGCCCTTGCTGATCATGTTGTGTACTCAAATGACCGCTGTACACCACCAATGTCTACACACCTGACTGCGTTTCTGCTGCTCACCAAATACCGCCATGGTGCCTACATGAAAGAACTCGTGCAAGCTGTTCACTGGATAGTTCGTGAACTGCAAGGGATTCGTATAGATGTTGGGTTTTGCGGTCGACCTGAAGATGCTATTTTGCATGCTCAGAAGCTGTTGGGAAGCGATCTCATCTCCACAGCATGGCATGCAGAGAACAATGACATTAAGCTGGTCCCCAACCTCCTGCTGCCAAATGTGTTTGAACTGAGTTATTATGGTAACTTGGTCTCCACACATTTTGCTCTGGAAAGTGTCGTGGCCACTGCCGTGCTGTATGAAAGTGGCCTTTCTTTTTATCATCTCCAAAGTGCGAATACCATGGAGCAAGTCAAAGTGTCCAGAGACAAGGTGCTGGAAACGGCAGAGGAAATCTGCAATATTCTCCACAGTGAATACATATTTGTTCCACCATGTGGCTACATTAGCTCGGTTCTCATGGAGACATTGGAAAACATGATCTCAAAAGAAGTTTTGTACATAGAAGATAGCCAAGGCGATGAGATGATGTTTGAGGGGAAGGACAGGAGGTGGGCAGAAAGGCTGGCTCAATCTCTTGATCCTGACGAAGACGAAGACGAGGGAGAGTACTGTTCAGAGCAACCGCTACTCCTCAACATGGCTCGATCAGATGTTCGGGAACGTCTCCACTTTTTATTCTCTGTCATTGCTCCTCTCCTGGAGTCGTACATGCTGGTGGGGAAGTTTGCTCTGGACAGTCTGATCCAAGAGCAAGAAGAGGAAGTATTTGTGAAGGCACTGGGAGAGTTTGCAAGGGAGAGAGTCTCTGATGGGCTGGCAGTGTTTTCGGAGAGTTGTGCCATGATCACTCTCAGGTCTGCGGTGAAAGCGCTGCAAGACATGGACATAATATACTCATACCGAGGTGCCAACCTTACAATCCTTGGCCTCAGTGAGGAAATGGATGCCAGACCGAGACTTGAGCATCATGTTTCACTCTTGCAGGCTGCTCTTAGTTAAAAGGGAGTGTGTATACAGACCCAGTAACCGGGAACTAAATCACAAAGTATACAGAACCGGTATAGGAACTCCTTTGTGATTTCGGAAAGATCTTCTTGGCTCAGGGTAGACCTACGTTCTTTTAGATCTATGGCCTAGGTCTAGATCTAGACAGACAGACATAAATCATTGATCTAGTTTCGAGGCTAGCCTAGATCTAGATCTAAATGAAGATTGCGGGGATGTCTTTTCGATGACGAGAACGATCGTTTTTTCCTCCGTTTTGGAGTTGGGGGAATCACAATTTGAAGAAAAGAACGATTTCATAATTACAATCGAGCTGTCACCCTCTCTAGATCTCTCTCTCTCTCTCTCTCTCTCTCTCTCTCTCTCTCTCTCTCTCTCTCTCTCTCTCTCTCTCTCTCTCTCCTCTGTCTCTGTGTATCACTCGCATTCTCTTTTTCTTTGTTTGTCTCTGTCTTTCTTTCTCCCCACCTATTTTTCCACTCTTATCTTTCTCTCGTTCCCTCCTGCCAACTGGGGCATGTACATTTTGCTAGCACTTCCCCCTGCTCTCTCTCTCTCTCTCTCTCTCTCTCTCTCTCTCTCTCTCTCTTTCTTTCTCTCTCTCTCTCTCACACACACACACGCGTGCGCGCTCACACACACACACACACTACCGGGTCTGGGCGCTGAAACTTTCCGAAATCACAAAAGAGTTCCCCTCCGGGTCTGTATACTTCGTGACTTTGTTCCCGGTTACCGGGTCTGTATATGCTTCGTAGTTAGAAAGCCAATTCCGGGATGGGTTAATCTATAAGTTTGCTCAGATTACCACTCTTGCTTTAAATCCTGTGTGGACCCTTTTTGCCCTCTTTTAAATTTTCACAACCGACCTTGTGTCTCTCTTTTTGTTATGTTTTACTCAATGCACACATTTATACTTTATGTTTGGTTTAAGCTCTCCACTACATACATGAAGGGTACTTCTGAATCCCAAGCAAACTTGCTCCCATAGCTTGTCTCAATTTCTCAACAGACCCTCAAGGTGACAGATATTACACCAATGTCGTTCAGTAGTTTATATCATAAGATTGATTATACAGTGGCGTCTGCTTAAATTGAACACGATTAACCTAAAGACAGTGGTAAACAGGTAAAAAATAAGATCCCTGGTTGTTGGTTGTTGTTTTTTTTTGGGGGGGGGATTTCTTTTTTCTTTGGAATAAATCTGTTGATTAGCTGAAATGCTACTGTTTCTGAACTGACAAGGGTGTTGAGGGTTATTTAATATAAATCTTCACTAGCAACTCTCAAGTAACTCTAATCGCCATGGTCAAGTCATACTTCAAATCTATGCTATCGACAATCATCACTATTTAAGCAAGCCTCTCTAAACGAAAATTCCGAGTAAAGTGAACAAAATCCTTTAGTCAGAAGATTTCCGTCTGTGTGGAATCAACTGTACAATATTAATAATAATAGTTGACCTATGTTTTTGTAGCTTCAATGAGGTAGTTCATATGAAATACTGTTCTCTAATTATATAAAACAAGATATTGTTTTGCAACTGAACAGCTGTGTAACAGTAACAACAGGTGGAGAGTGAGAGACTGATGTATTGTCATTTTGTATCTGTCTCTCCTGCAAAGGGGTTACTACAAGTAAATTCATAAACTGTAGGAATATTCTGCCTCCTTGAATGATGCAAGTGTGACATGAACATGCAATCAGCGAAATGGAGATATTGACCGAAAATCGATGGGCCAGTCAAATTTAGAGAGAGAGAGAGTTTCAACTTTGAATAAAAACATGTTTTTTAAATTCATTTCATACTAATTAAACAAACTCAACCTATCTATTTAATGTATCTATGTCCATAGGGCTAAAATCTAAGAAGTAAATCATTTTGTCAGCTCGCCTCACCAATGTCACCATGTCTGCAGGCCTTAATCCTTAATTATTGGGACATATTACCTACCCTTGCAATAGTTGCAAGGTCAATTACTACTTCCTGATTTTTTGATTTTTTTTAATTGACCTTTTTTGTTTACACTATTTAAAGTTTAAAGTCTTTCTTTCCCCTTTCCAAAACAAGTCTCTATCTTCATTGCCTGTTCCTTGCAAATTTACTGCATCCTTCCAATCCACCTACTGGTACTTATTTTCTCTTCTAGCCTAATATTCACAACGTTTCGCTGACAATTTCCTTCTTTTTTTTTTTACTTCATACCGTGGAGAGTTCAAATCATAAATGTTCAATTTATCAAGAGGAGATGAACTACCTGGATATTTCATGTCAAAAGTAAAGGGTCCCTCCAAGTCAGGGTAACCTGGAACGGTTTGATATTGTTATTTTTTTCTTTTGAGAGAAAAATGTTATTGAACAATTATTTTCTTACTTCAAATGTCATATCTCGAAGATTTCATTGTACAATTTAATTCAATTTCTAGTTGATGAGTTCATATTGAAACATGTTTCAGTTCATTCGTAGATAATTATCAATGGAATGTTACACGCAGTGGAGAGGCTTACAGTTACAGTAACAGTTTCAGGTTGTTCGACATGCTTTTATATTTTAATGAATTAATTTCTTTTTAAATTATAGACATGTAGCCTTTCAGTGAGGGTTGTTAGACAAAACACCTTTGTAGGGGAAAAATAGGAGTTTGGAAAATGAGAAAAAGTGCTACTGGGTTAAAAGATTTGGGCGGGGGGGGGGTCTGACTTTGATGAAATAGGTGCTCCTTAAAACCCTGAAACTAATGGTACAGTAGTCTCTGCCTAAACGCACGCCATACAAAAGCACGTTCCGCTCAAACGCATGCTTTTGTCATTTGACGTTTTTTTTACTATATAATTTAGACGTACAAATGCACGGTCACTCACTCTAAACGCACGCTCCGATCTGCGAAACACGCTGACATGTAAAGCTTGACTAAGGGAAATTTTCACTACAAGCCTAGAAAATCGGACATTTGGCGAGATTGCCCCTTACGCCGAACAAAGAGAGTGATGGACAGCGTTTTCACACCTAACTTTCCACAGACAAAGGTCTAGGACTGGTCGGTGAATTGTTGGGTGGTTGGGGGACTGAAACGTTATTTGATTGGTCACTGGAAATGCATCTCTTTTTAGAGAAGGTTTCTGACTGGTGTTTGAGTGACTGCGTGTTGGCTAATGTTTAGTTAGACCTAAGCCTATGATGCGCAACACGCGTGAATGCTCGTTCATGAATTTACGGTCGGGGGTGGTCGCTTGGAAAGCCACGTGGCTGGGCTATCGTCTCTATGACTATCCACCAACAATCTTTTCAGGCTATTGGTTCCCGACTTTTTATGGTTCATTCATTACATCAAGTCTGCGCCACGCCGCCCCCCCACCCCCACACACACACACCCATTCAACGCCTTTGCAGTCTTAACCGCAGTTGGGGAATCTTTTACAAAACCGTCATGTGTAAGGGAGGTCACAAGAAATACTAGAATATCAAAGCAATGAGATGACTGCGTCCCTTCCTCCCTGTGCTGAGGTTCATGTAAACGCATGCTCCGTATAAACACACGCTAAGTAGCCCTCCCGAGCACCATGCATTTAGGCGGAGACTACTGTAAATGGTACGTTCATGTATGGTGGTTTCTTTGGATATATTTGGATAGAGGAAGTCAGTGTGTATGTCCAACAGCAAATATATATTGGCCTACTTGGTTTTTTTTTACTCTTGACTTTGTTGTCAGTACTTGTGTAAATTCTAGTTTGAAATACTCAAAATGAATTCTAGTTCTCTAGGCAATAAATATTTCTTTATTTATGAGAAAAATTGTATGCACAGTAGTTGTTGTAGATTACTCTACTGATCTCAGACTTCTTGCCTCAATTTTATTTTTTTATGTCTTGAATTTTGAATGTGTGTTGAAGAACTGAGTGCTATATTTGTTTTATATGTGTGTCATTTTCACTTCATCAATATTTTGATTTTTCACAGCCATTTTAGCCTTCCTGCGTGTTTTTTTTTGGTATTGTTCTGGAACTTAAAGTGTCTGATGACAGAGTTAAGTGTTTCATTGTTTGCTTCAGAACAACTCCAAACCTTTCTCTTAGCCTTCCTCTCTTTTAACAATTGAAAACGGTTATGTAGTACACATATGTTGAATGCTGCAAAGTCATTGGGGATATAAGAGTCCATTCCAATGTTTTACATTTATTTCTTTTGAACGTCAAAAAGTTTTCGTGGAGTATTTATTTAATTTTACTGTCTATTTATTATTCAATCTCTGGAACCTCAGAAACTTGCAAAAACAAGCTGGTGCTACAGAAGTATGTACATGTAATTTTCCCCGGTGTTACTGAGCAAGAAAGAATCTATGGAGATTCCCAAAGATGGTTGAGCGGAAGCTCTGATCTGAGTCTTCAGCAATCGATGCCTGTGACAGATTTTGAGCCTGAGATTGTTCAACCTATATTTCTTTTTGGTGTTGATAATTTATAAAATTTGCTGACATTGTGATTAAATGTGGCAGCCTTTCACATGCTTGCTTGTGTGTAATCTAGTTGTTGTTGTGTTGTTGTTTTTTTAAGTAGGAAAAATTGAGAATGTATTGTATATTGAACTGTTATAGTCAGAATATACTATTAGATTATTAATGACAAAGTAAACAGTCTCAGAAAGAACAAAAAATGCTGGAAATTTTGCTTGCATAAATGTTACTTTTTTTTATGTTCTTATTAAATTTTGAGCTACCAGTTTTGCTCTTGCCAGCCGTGCTAATGTTGTTGACTTGTTGTTCAAAGTAGTCTCAGGATTTGTAGCTTTGTAAATGAAGTTAAAAGGATTTGATTTCGTTTTTATCTCATTAATTGCCGCGAGATTGTGTTTGCTGGTATTTTATAAGGCATTGACATTTTTGTTAACCCATTGCTTTAAATTTAAATCAATGGTGTTAATTAAGTGTTGACTGTGGTATGATGTGAATTTACTTGTTTTTCTCCAAGTCAGTCTTGTAATGATTTTCCTGTTTTGTAGTTTCGGAGTACCGTTGTCTGATGGTATAATGGTTAGGTTCTTCGCCGTTGCACACAAGAGATGTGAGTTTGATTTT